TCCATCCATCCATCCATCCATCCATCTTTTTTCCTCTTCTGCTTTTGTGTTGGGAGGAACCATGTTGTCCCATCCTCCAACAATCTTCTGAGTTTACACTAGGTCTGGGGGACTCAACAATGGACCCCTGCTCCAAACAATTTTTGCAACAAGGTTATTTTGCAATCTAATCTTAATATCTTCTAAACTGCTCTTCTGTACCTGTTTGGGCAAGAAAATCCTTAGCCCAGGGCAATCTATAACCCCTGCCCACTCCCTCAAACTCATTTGGAGGTGAAAGGGATCTTGCATGTCAGCCTCAGGCCATGCCCAAGAGAGCCCTAACATGAACTTGATTAAGCTTATACATCACAAGTTCCACAGCTTTAAGAGGCAGATCAGAGGAGACTTCAAGCAATGTGAAGGTGTTGCTGAGTATCCAGCAAGACTCTTGTTTATGGTGTATCCTTCACTCCCATCACTTCGCATGGAGAGGCTTCAGTTTAATGTCACTTCACCTGGTCTCCATGATTTTCAGATTAACACTGGGAAAAAACAAAAATAGTTGCCTAAAATGCTAAATGAATTGGTTTAATGGTGTTCTTCTAGCAAGTTGGCTTTATAGTGCTGGCATTATGGTGTTGCGCTAGTGAGTGTCAAATGTCTGAAAGGGCCATACTGCCCTGTGTGCAGACCAGAAAGCTAACCTGATCTGTCTGTCTGTTCTTCCATCCACCTAGCTCCATATGGTGTCTAAATTCACTACAGGACTAAGTTCAAGCAATGGGTCCAGAGTTCATAAAATCTGGGCCATCCATCTTCATTCTTCCAAAGATCTGCTATAGCTTGGCTTTTAAAAGCCTGGAAGAGAATTCCCCCCAAACAATATCAGCACCTGCATGCAGGAAAACTCAGAACACAGGACTGGAGTCAGGGAAGAAACAGAGTACATGCTTTCTCATGCTTGCCCATCCTTTTGATGATGGCATGAAGGCAAACACCTTAGCTCTTCCCTCTCTGCTCTGCAGCTGGCCTAGGTACTGTGCTATAGCCAGAGATGAGAGCAAACAAATAGTCTTGAAACTGGTTGTAGATGTTCTAGATGCTTTTTAGAACTGATGTTTTATTCAGACTTTCTATATATCCACAAATATGTTTCTTTAAAACAACACTTAGAGTATTTGAATTAATACACACTGACAAAAACAATATGTGGATATAGTTCATGGATTTGTTTAGATTAAAATAGTGATGGCAATGGTGATGAAATGCAGAAATTTTTTGTATCTCAAGGATTTGTCCTTTGTCATTTCCAACTTTATCATTTCCCTTATTTCATTTTTGGACAGACACCACCCCTTTCTGCTTGTAATGAGCACTGCCCTTCAGGTGGTAGAAAAACAAAGGAAGAAGGGAGGCCATTTTGTTGCTATGGTTGTCTTCCATGTCCAGAAGGGAAGATTTCAAACCAGACAGGTAAGAGGTATCTTGTATGATCTGTTCAAAAGCATTCTGGCTGTGATGCAGAATTCGCATTTCAGGGTGCCTGGAAACCTTTTGTTTTCTTATTCTTTCATTCTTTTCAGTTGTGTCAGAAACAGAGGCCCAGTTCAACAGATTG